TATTTTATTTAACGTTTCCTATTAGCATAAACCCTAATACCCTTATATTTAGGTTTATTTTAAAAACCCGTAATATAATCGTTATAAAAAACTCCCGATTTAAGCTTTTTAGCATATATATAATAAAAAAATAAATGGCGTTAATATCGGGGATTAATTGCGAATATTTAATTTTTTAAAAATAAAGCGATTTCGGCGTAATAGCTAATAAACCTTAATTTATAATTTCTTATTTAATAAATATATATTATAATTATCGAATTCCTGCTAATTTTGGCTAATAATAAATATTATCCTCGTAAACCTTTATATTATTTAGCGCTAATAAAATTATATAATTAAAAATAGCTGGATCGAATACGATTTACGCCGAATTTAGCTTAAATACCGTAAATAATTAACACTAAAATTTATCGAAAAATACGGGCTGCCTATTTTATAATATAATTATATAAAGGGAATTTTAATAAGAATTCCGGAAAATAATTTCTTTATTAATAAATTATTAAAAAATTATTATAAATTATAATTTAAATAACGCTAATTATATTACGGTTATAAATAGCGTTTCCGTTAAATTATTAACATATTACGTCGAAAGGATTATATCGCTAAAATTATAAATATCTGCTTAAAATGCTATAAAACCTATTTTTATAAGCTATATTAAAATAATTAGCACCGCTTATTAAATCGATAAAATATAGCTTTTAGCGGTATTTATTTATAAAGCATATAATTATATAAAAAATAGCCTATACGTTAATTATATTATTATTTCCCTAAATCCTAATAAACTAATTAATTAATCCCATTTTAACCTAAGCTTAATTATAATAACACACATTTTAAATATATAAAATCGGACTTTTTTAATTAATTAAAACTTTTTAATTAGCTATTAAATTAATTTATTAACCGACGCGTTATATTAATTTAAAATATAATACACGACCTAAATTATATATAATTTAGTATGGCTTAGCGGTCAAATCTGTTTTTTGACTGGTTCAATAAGTGGAAATCATGGTACGTACCAAAACGACCCGATTTCCGAGTTTAAAGGGATAGCATGGCCAAGGACAAGGCCTTGGGGTAGCCGACCCTCCAACCTTGTCCGCCCCAGACCTATAATCAAATCTGGGTATATCCCAGTTTTTGTGCTTGAGCAAGGGAGGATTTGTAGTGCAAAGAGCTCTTCAGGGAACATTCCAACGGTTTCGCATGCACTGATGAGATAGCTTATCCTGGAGTGATGACGAAACAACATGGACGCTGTTTATTTAGCTCAACTGTCAGGTACGGGAATGAACAAGCGCGGGCGCGCGCGCGCATGCGGAGAGTCCACTCTATCCATCTAGCTAGCTCATGTCGGCCACGACTATTTGCGCCTTGCCTTGTAGATCATCACGACACTTTGCGGTGACAGCTGTGATCAACGATAAGAAGTCACGATAGTACGACAAATACCTTTTTGTCCTCTACCCACACCTAGGCAAATAATACCGATCGACGTTGAGAGTGGGAGGGAGAGAAAAAAAACGTGCTGAAGTACCCGCCAATCTGGACCAGATTCACCCCGCATGGATTAGCAAGCCAATTCAGGTACAGCAAGAGCAGCCCTGGAGATAGATCATCATGCGCTTTCTCAGTCAAGGTTGTGAACCCTTACACAGACACAAAAGTTCGTCACTGAAATGGCGGGTCTTTCCATCCCAAAGTACCTATACATTTACGCATGTCGCAGGGGCAGACGTCACGAGGGATGAGGTTCAATTCTCTCTCTCTGTCTCTTTCTCTCCCCAGTGCGCGGCGCACACCACCGAACGCACAGACGATCCAGGGTCTCTCCCCCATTAATCCCATCCCATTTGGCTATTATGTGTGTGAAACTTGCCCGCCACATCGTACGTGATCACCATTTGAGGTGCATCGCTGCGACAGGTCCGTCCAAGAGCGGAGTCCCATTCGGTGAGGCACGGAATTGGGATACCGACTCAACGTTCTTTTGCTCTTCTCTCTCTCTCCTCTCTCGTTATGTCTCTTGTGCCATACCAACGAGACCCGTGCCTATCAACTGCCGAGCGGGTCTTGAGCCCGTCGTTTTTTTTCTCCACGCCAGACAACGGTGGGCGCGCCTAAATTCCTCACCGAACCACTGAATCGGGATCACCAGTGACAGTGACAAACGGTTTCCTCTATTCCTTTCCACACAACTCGACGAGAGCCGAATAAGGCGCCCCATTTGGTGAATGGTCTACCCACCCTCCTCCCCCCATCAGTAGTACTATGAGAAGCTTGGTTATACCAAGACTCGATTCCAAGCTTTTGCCCAGTAGAGGATCTCCCGGGGATGCACAAGTGTGTAACACAAGCCAAAGCAGCCTAAGGATTTCGAACCCTCCCTCGCCTAAGAAAAAAAGAGTAAGAGCCGCATGAACCCGGAGGACGGAAACAAAAGGCGGCGCATCCGCGGTGATCATGCCCGGCTGCAGTGACACATTCGAAACTTAATGTTTTTCATAAGACCACCTTTTGACATCATGCTCACAACTAAAAAGTGATCTGAGGCTGCCTGCCTACCGCTGGTGATGAAGCACTGTGCCACTCGATGCGATGGTGCACGATTTCATGGGACGAATCCACAATCCCATGATGATTGTGATGGAAAGAATTCATCACGGCACTTTGATATCACCTCAACATAGACTAGTTGTGTAAAAAAAGATAACAATGCATAATTCATCAACTAAGCGTGACTCTGGGCGCTCGAGATGCGTCTCGTCACAATTATGCCCAGTGTGACTGTCACCAGTGTCAAGAGCACTGCAGTCCATGCACTCGCCCTTTACTTGAACAGGGACAGCCTGGCTCAGTCACCGTGTGCAGGCCATGAGACTTGAGTAAAGATCATGTATCGTAGAGACTTGGACCCCCCTGGTTCTTCTCAAGAGTTATAGCAGCGATGCATCAGCAGCCACAAGAAAGAGAAGATGCACTGCCTGCCTACCTTTGAAAGGTCAGTGAATCCTTGTTTTGTCGGTCGGTGTGTACCTCTCCCAAACAAAAAAGACCGACAGGTCCTCCCAAGGAAACGAGGGAAGATCTAAATAGAAGATCCTATCGGTTTCAGGAGCCTTCCACGAATGGTTCCCTTTGTTTTTCTTCTTCTTTCGCAGTTCCTGATGGTGTCCACGGAGATGCAATCCCTGGTGTTTCTGGATGCTTTCCCCCCTTGTGTTGCTTTGCCTGTCGCGAGAAAAAGTTCGAGAAGGAAGCCCAGCCGAGCCGCACTCGGGACCAAAATGATACGCTCGGTAAGCCGTTTCGCCGTTCTCCAAGAAACTCTTTGGGAAATGGCCCGAGGGATGGGAAACATGAGGAATAACGGATAGGATAAAGAAGAAGAAAGAGAGGTGCACCCGCACGTGGCGTTTGGGATATGACGTTGAAACATCAAACGTCTGATGTTCCCACGCGAACCTACGAAACATCAATAGTGAAGGGGGAAAAAACCCCCCATCACCTAGGTAGGCAGTTAGTAGAGTTTTTGTTTTGTGCGCTTTCCGCTGCAAAGTGAACAATTACTTATCGACGGACAGCAATTGTTCTTGCAGTGCCTTGATATAATTAGCATGCTAGCAAGGATGGCAGCTCACACGTCGCAGAGGAAACGGTGGGATTGGTTCCTTTCCATCACTTATACGTGAAACCCCTATCGCATGGCATACTATATTGTTTGCACCGACTTTTCTGTGATTGGATGCGTTGTGCACAGTAGAGTAGTAGCAAGCAGGTGATGTGATTGTATAGAGGAGGTGAGCCGGTGTAAATGTTACCCGATGGCCACTGGTTTTTTTTGGGGAGGGATCCATCTCCACCGGGCTTTCACATGAAGATTGCGAGTACGGTATATACCTGATAATTGATCGAATGCGTAGCGCATAGCCGTGCAGATATGTAATGAAATCCAGGTTCTTGTCCGTCCGTCGTATCCGGCCGTGTATTTGTCCGTCCACCAGTAGAAAGAAGCTCATGACAAAGACATTGGAATTTCAGCTTGCGCATTGCTCAGCACATGGCAAAAAGTCACCCAGCTGACAATTTGGTTCGGATTAGCTACCGTGATGGGAATTGCGGGGAATGAGCTTGCTGCTCTCATCCTTGTCTGTCATTTTACTACTAGTCTCGCCAGCAACACCCGTGAGATCTTGTCTTGGAGCGCTGATGAATCGACACGATGCACGTGGGTTGAGAGGGTAGTTTGTTGACTCTTGCGCAAACGAAAAGCTACACTAGAGAAAACGGTGAAGCTGATGAAGAAAAATGTCTCGACTCCAAAATGGAACTCTGTAATATACCTACCCAGGTCTGCATCGAGTCTGGGATCTATCTCTATGAAGATCTTCCTCAGCATGTCGTGGAGCCCCAATCGCCCACGTGCCGTCTCGGGTGTCCGCTTTCCATCAAAGGCAATCTCACAATTCCCAAATCTGTCCCTGGCAGCAAAGCAAAAAAAAAAAAAAAAAAGCTTCGCACCCCCCGGCCCTGCCCACTCGACCTCGCTAATCTTGCCGGGGGGCCATTTCTAAAGACAGAAAGAAAGCCCAGTTTACCAAGCCAATGGCGACGATCATGTCGAGCATGCTCTCGCTTCTACCGCTTCCCGCAAAAGATCGTCTGTCTATTTTCCGTGGCCAAGTTGCGCCGTCGCCTTCGAGGGTTACATCGTAGAGCTGGCTTGAGCTGGACATCACGGCGTCACCTCACTGAATGGGATTAGGGGGACATGCAATCAAATCTAATGAGAGAGAGTTGGCCATAGGTTACTGCCTTCCTGCTCGATATGACCTCACGGTGTGCCATGCGCCCGGCGGATGGTCAGAATATAAAGAATCAATGTCACCCCGACATTATCGTGTCTTTTTTGTTTTCGTGTTGTGTGTGTGAATTGTGTCTAATCGCATCTCTGGAATTGAAACATCGCGCATCCCTTTGCCATGAAGAGCTTCATTAGCGTAACGGCCTCGGCGGGCCTGCTGGGACGAGCCCTCGGGGCAACGAGCGGCGAGTTCAATGTCTTGGCCATGAACGTGGCAGGTCTGCCCGCGATTCTGCAAAACAATGAAGTCCCCGGAGACAAGGCGACCAACGCCGGAACCATTGGTTCCAAGTTTGCCGAGTATGGATATGATGTGATCCATGCTCAGGAGGTAGGCAAATATTCCTTTCCCTGAATTGAAAGCAGCACGAGTGAGCCAGAGACTGAACGAGAGGTGGGTGTGGCGCGCAGGACTTCAACTACCACGCCTATATCTACGAGACGGACACACATGAATACCGTACTGCAACTTCAGGCGGAGTGCCGTTCGGCTCTGGTCTCAACACATTGGCAAACTATGATTGGATCGATTTCACTCGCGTCAAGTGGGACACGTGCTCCGACGCCTCGAGCAACGACTGCCTGACCCCCAAGGGTTTCACCTTTATGCGGGTACAGATCGACGACGGCGTTTTTGTAGACTGCTACAACCTGCACACCGACGCCGGCACCGAAGACGGGGATGAGACTGCCCGCAACTCCAACCTGGCCCAGGTTGCCAATTACATTGACTCGTGGAGCATTGGCAACGCTGTGCTCGTCTTTGGTGATACCAACAGCCGGTACACTCGCACCGCCGACAACATTACCATTTACAGCAACCAGAATGGTATGACAGATGTTTGGTTGGAGCTGATTCGTGACAACGTGATCCCGACCGAAGAGAGCCTTTGTGACAACCCGAGCACGACCAATTACTGCGAGACAGTGGACAAGATCTTCTACCGCGGAAGCCCGCTCTTCAGCCTCCAGGCGACGTACTTCAACTACGAGAGCTCCAAGTTCCTCCAGTCCAACGGCAGCATCCTCTCGGACCACAACCCCATCACGGCCAACTTTACCTGGACCTCGAGCTCGACGCTGCGCCAGTCCAACTTCTGGGGCGGCCCCCACGGCACCTGGTTCAGCGACGTGCCAACGCTGGCCGCCAAGTCGGGACCCAAGGCGTCGGTCCTGACTTTCCGGGGCGCCGACCGGCTCGACAGCGTCGGCGTGACGCTGGCCGACGGCACCACGCTGACGCACGGCGGCACCGGCGGCACCGCGGCGACGCTCACGCTGGGCGGCAGCGAGTACTGGACGAGCGCCGAGCTGTGCCAGGGCCAAAAGAGTAACGAGACGCGCAACTTTTACATCAAGGCCACGACGAGCGCGGGCAACACGCTCGCAGCCGGTACCTCGACGTCGGACTGCGCAACCTTTTCGGCCCCCGACGGGTGGCAGATTGTGGGCTTTGTCGGACAGGACGGCGATGAGATTGATCAGTTGGCCTTTGTATACGCACCCCAGTAATAAAGCTGCAGTAGCATCTCTATTTTTTAGTAGTAGCGATAGTAGTAGCCAAATTTGCCCACCCCAGCCAGCCTCGGCAATTGAGTTTTTTCTCTTGAATAGGCTTTGCAGAATCCTAGGAACCGCACACCATCGTGAACGTGCGTGTCAATGCGTGCATATGAACCGGTTGTTCTTGCGAGTAGGCACTGCCGAAAGTTCCGTTTAAACGATGTTGCAATCTTTTCTCTCCACCCCTTCTTTTGCATAAGTAGTAGAAACATAGATGCACCACATCTTTGGTTCGGCATTTCGGCAGACCAGATCGCAACAGTCTCGTCACTGCGGTCATCGTCAATGCAAAACAGCAGAAGATCAGTCACAATTTTGCAGGTGATTTGGCAGCGAGAGCGGTCGATTTCCGTTTCCGTGGGGGGCGGGCGAGGGCGGGGGAAAACGAACCAGACGGGAGCTTGCCTGAAACTCTCCATGGTCGATCAGAAACATCAGTAACATACGTACGGGACTGTAGTGTAGCGTGCGCCTACCCATTGCACCGAATAATCAGCCTAGTGACGGCATCGTTGTTGGAAAGTCGTTGTGATTTGGTAATAAGCGTCACGATTAGCAGCGAAGATCACACCCTCAATGAGCCCCAGCTTGCCAGCAGTGCCAGCGCCAGTGCCAGTACCACTCAAGTGCTGTACCGTCGGCCTGTGTATGTTGTGCTATTGGAAAAGACTGAGAGTTACCAACACCTGAAAGCCACTAATGCAGATGCGGGTCGGCCAGTTCTCTTCAAGCTGCTTAAGCTGCGTCCCCCTAATGCAGGAGAGAAAGCACCACAACTCCTCTGGAGTCGTCTTCAATGTGTTGCTCCTCAGCGCCAGTGGCATTTGGGCGCAAACTGAGGCCCGGGGAAGATATTGACTGGCTTGTGCACCGTGGCAAATGCTCAAGTGCTTCTTGGGGCCTAAAATGTACCACAGTCTGTAGGTACTTCCTACGGTAGTTGGCTAGTGAGCAGAACCGTCCATGCAGGTCCCAACATCCGGGCATCCTAGATCCAAGCTCGTCTCTTTTCCCTTTGTCGCTGGTACTAGATCTCCGGATGCAAGCACAGCCTTCCTTCCGGTGCTCTAGCTGAAAAGTAAGAAACAGAGCATTGGCCTACTTGCAACTGCGGACTTGCTACAAGCCGCAGAATGGCCACAAGAAAAGCTCAGTCATTCTCGTCCATTGTAGGTACCAAGATGTCGTATTTGACGTGTAATATCCGATCACTTCCACCGCTTGCCGACGCCAACAACCCAATTACAGCAATTCCGGATTAGATACCACGTGTAATATACCTGGGCAGCTAGTGTACCAAATAAACCATGAAAATGGGGGAGCTCGAGCTTTTCGGAGAGAAAAATTGTACACACATACACACAAATCCACACCCAACAACACGCACCCCCCCTTCTACTACCGTGTGATGCTACTGGAAGCTCAATAGTTTCATCTTGTTCGAGATGCTAGTTGACCCCGGCGCCGATCTAGCTAAGCTGTGCCAAGGCTAAATTTAGGGGTCCAGAGGCCCAAGCTCTCCCTCTCTTTCCCATGTTGCAAAATGTGGGTTTCGCTCGTGCTCGTGCTGATAGACAAAAGAGCACAAAGGGAAACTCTTAATTATTAAAATCGTGTTTGGACTTCTAGAGTGCTTTTTGCCTTCGGTAGTTTACAACTACCTAGTCATCCAAGCTATGACGTGTGGGCGGTAAAGAAAAGGGTCCCTCCCCTTCTTCCCCGGTGCTTATACGAGGTAGGAAAGGCCAGCCACAGCTTGGCTATGGGTTTATGCCCAAAAAAGTTTTCTTCATCGTCTTTTTCAAGTCTAGCACCTGAGTACGGGGGATAGATACATGGCTCTGGTGTTCCTGTTTCGGTCATAAGAGCATGCCAGGCGTCACCCGGTTGTGAAAGTTGGGATTGAGTGAGTGGCATATGCAAGAAAAGTGACATGCTTTGGAGGAGCGCCCCCTTTGCCAAGAGCCTTGATTATTAGAACCTGATTTGCATTTTGTACTTCATGGATAAGTATTCATATCTCCTTTAAATGCACAGTTACAAAGTTCTAATGTTTTGAGTTAATCAATCATGTGGGCAAAATTACCTGCAATGGAATCTTGAGAGCCAGCCTAGAGCCAGCCTAGAGCCACCCATTCAGTCATCGGGAAATAGCCCCATTGTCTGTGCCATGGTCGACGGATGAACCCCCATCGGCCGCTATATTACTTCGCACCACGGGCTTACAGCCATTGCTAAGGTCGGTATTGACCAAAAAAAAAAGTCTTGGTCTGGACCAGTGGCCAAATATAAAAAAAGACCTGCGGAAGTGCACACATGTTTCCCGAGAAAAGAAAAGAAAGAACCATGGTACTTTTTAGCACATGGCTCCTATTTAGACAAGCGCAACAACTAAGTTTGGCGTCAGGTGAATTAGTTGATGATCCGGTGTTGATAGCGCCGACGGAACTGCAAATAGCCAGCGGGGTCCTGATGGAATGACGCGGCTGCAGATATGTTTTCAGAGGTTCCAAGACCCTTAGTAATATCCCAGGAATTCTAAAACTACCCACTAGAAAGATTGATGAGCAAACAATCAATGACTGTGTATATACCCTGTTGCGGAAAGCTCTCTTCTGCTTTTCGTGGCTGTGCTTTTTTAGGCCTTGGAAAAACAAAATCGACCGAATATTCGATCGCCAAACGACTTGGTGACGCGGAGACACCCCTGGTTGTTATGCTAGATTTTGCATCGTGCGATACCGATTAGACTTTCTCAAGGTTTGGAGCCAAAAGTCGATCGCAAGATCAGAATGGCGGGCGGGTATCGAAGCGAGATCTTCTCAAGGATTTGTAGTCCAAGCCGACCGCCAAAGATCAAAATCAAAATGACGGGTGTCGAAGCGAGATCAATGCTGTCACAAGTTGAGAGTTTGAGAATAAGGATCCACCATAAAAATCTGAGAACAATGAAGAGCTCCAGTCTTCATCATAATTTTTTCCCACCTCTTCGTATGCCGTACCAGACTGTTGGGTTCGCTGGTTCTGGACTCGGGCCAGGATCCGATATGAGCGGCCGCGCAGCAATCCCGCAGCCGGACCTGCGCAAGCTTACAAGGAGGTCAATAGGTACGGTAGATGACCGCGTCACGACAGCTGTTGGGTGACGAAGACTCGAGGCTCATCGTCGTCAACTACTGGCTGCAAGAGGGTCGAGCGGAAACATGTTCTTCATGCATGACGCGATATCGTATTGTTCAACGAAGTGCATTGTGGTCACATACCTGGGCGCAGCAGTCTTATTGGAACTCGGAACAGATTCGTGGCGCTCAATGAGTGTACTGTGCTGTGGTTCTGTTCGGGTCAGCCATTCAGTATTATGATCATCCACACAGTTGGACAACGGATGGGTGCGGACCGTTCGACGGGATCGTCTTTGGGAGCATCAACGTATGGTCCTTCTGATACTTGGATGCAATTTTCGCGGCAAGACTCATTTCATACATGTGATAGAGGCGCAGGGGTGGTTCAGGAACCGACATAGTATTCCGTAACGGTCCTGAGATCGGGCAATTGATCCTTCACCAGGGATGATGGACTTTCTGAACGGTGACTCTGACAGAGGAGTTGCCGCCAAGCTCCATCCTTTGCGTGTGAGTAGCAGCACGAATGAGGCAGCAAAAGCTACAGAATTTGCCTCATCGATTGCGACGAATCCCAAGGCTAGTTTGTAGCACTGCGGTGTGAGTAGAAACCACCACTACTTGAAAGACAAGTTTCGTGATCGTCTGCTGGCTTGCTTTCTGCGGTACCGACGATGGATCAGTGCTATCATGACCACAACGGGCAACTGTGCAGTCGCTCACAATCCTATTTATGCCCCGCTGGGAACATAACGCCCAGCATTTGTACCTTGACTGGACGCCACTTTAGCGCCATATGTTGGTGATTGTATAGTCTGGCGGGAATTCCATCCTGGTTGGCACACTGGCACCTGGTTACAAAAAGTGGATTTAGTGTCGGGATGATCGAGATGTGGACCTCTTCTTTGCTCAGAGGATTCCCCTCTTCGGTGTAGTTGGAACAGGAACAACTGATGTTTGCTGGTAGTGGACGAGGTAATCAATACCGCATTATTGACTGTCAAGGCAACCAGGTGATGCGTACATTTAGCTGCTGTGTACTCAGGAACTTAGCTCTTGCTACCATGAGATTGGAAATGAGAGAGCTTCGTGTGGTGATCGCCAAACCGAAGTCTTCCCGAGCGAAAACAACTGCACTGTCTGTTGCACGTGTTCGCGATTCGTTGTGCAGATAACTTGTAGTGTGGAAAGAGCTCGCTGTACAAAGTAGGTGCGGCCTTTGGAAATCGTCAATGTGATTGCGCTTTAGCGGATTGGCAAGCAGGTAGGCGACAAGGAGAGGGACCCCCTGCTAGACGTCCAATCTTACAATGCTTGACATGAACGGCGATGTCTTGACATCTGCGCCGAGTCAACCCCGGCAAAGATGCTTCGCATTGCCCATGAGAGTCTGGATAGGTGATATGAACAAGCTCCCCACAACAACTGACCGGGCTTGGCCGCCTGTGGTGTAGCTGCGGCGACGAACCGCTGAGATGCTATTTGCAGGAAGGGTCCACGATGATTCGCTGATTATGTGACGAAAGTTGCAGCTCTTCTTGGTAGGCATCTGAACTGCACGAATGAAGATCCGCAGAAATATTCGTTGAAGCCCAAAGAGTTCGTTCACTCCGCGGTCATGGATCTCGCCCATGGTATTGCAGAGGTGCCGTTCGCTGTCATTCGCTGTCAAGGACTACCTCCTGTCAGCCCGCCTCGGAAGATTAGCCGACGTGACATCGGTAGTATAGCGTACCAGTCTTTAGAGCTGCCAATACGACCTCAAGGAATGGTTCACTCAGGGCGGCAGGCAAGGTAGGGCCGTGAGGCCATCCAACACGAATTCAGAACGCCACGTACACGGTAGTAGGTGGTAGTGATGCACGGGATTACTGCGTAGAAGCCTTATTACCTACGTTTAGGTATGTACCTGCCTACCTTACCTACCTGTATCTGTTTCCAACAGCCGGCCTCCAGGACCCCGACGCACTCCACACGGGCAATGTCACTGAAGGGTCGCATTGCGCCAGATGCACGACAACCGTCTGAGGCTGGCAGTCGTTAACGAAATTATTGATTCCCACCTTATTCGACAGGCCTACGCAGGAGCTTGCCGCGATTTCGCCAATTGTGGCTGACCAAAGCCCTGCAACCGTTGTTGTGGTCAATCTTCAATTGTTGATAAATATATGTCGTGTCACCATCGATTCTTGCTGGCCAAGTCGACTTGCTTTCATCAAGGCGCTTAGGTATTCCGCAGATACCTACCTTGGAATTCCGACCCCGGGTCTCGAGTCGGGTCCATTGTGTGCACCCTGCTCGATGCGCAGATTCGATTCAACCAAGAGGCCCTAATAGCGCGCTGACAATCACAGATCAGGGACGGGAAGATCCTTTCGCGCATCCGCCTGCGTACAAGTGCTTACCTCGTGGCCTGGCCCTGGCGCGCGAATACCTTTTTCCTTTCAAGGATACCAATTGACCGGTTCATTCAGGCGACAATTTTGCATGTATGCAACATTGAAGCGAGCTTTTGCATTACACAAACTGCCTGACTGCTGTACAGTGAGAATGTATGTATGATGAATACGGCGCAACCACAGCTTGGGCTGCATTACCCAGCCCCAAAACAAGCTGCAGCCAATGTGCGCGCCCAGAAAACTACATCGGGAACACGGCTTGCAATACCAGCTTCGCTCAATCGAAAAGATATACCAATATGACCGCAACTGATGATCTTCAGTCACATGGCATATGACTCCAGCAAGGGATCCGCTGGATGCGATTGATATGGTTATGACTTGCGCGAATACTTGTAATTACTATGTACTCTCCGCCATGGCCCCCGTCATCGTTAGATGAGCTTGCATTGTGTCATGCAATTGACTACTATCACATTCATGTATGGCTACTTGGTACCAGAATGGAATTACGCTTTCCGAACCTCTCTTTTGGGTGATCTGATTTGATTGATTCAACACATGACTGATCTTGACCATAGATAAGATGTGCAAGGCGCGACAATCGAGCTGATTACTCTAGAAACAGAAACATCAACAGGAACAGGAATCGGAGTACAAAGTATTTATCAACAGATCTAAAAACAGCCGGAGCTGCAGCTCCTGGACTTCCAAACACCCAAAATGATGCCGTATTGTGAGTACTGGGTTTGAATCATATTGAAAGCTTGAGCTTGAGCTTGAGAATTTCACCGAGGACAGAACTGATACTTTGACTATGAACCTTTTTTCCCAGTCGCATTGCCTACAATACTCACTAGCATACATACCTACCAACCAAACCCTAGGTATATCAAGTGGTCACTGCCAATCGCATACCGAGTCATGAACGTATTTTGTTTTTGTTCACGCGCATGCATGGAGCTATAGATTTGGACGTTCCTGGATAGCTATACCATCTCCAAGCGTTGCGAGCCTCGCGAGGCTACCTAGGTCCAACCATAGGAACCAAACATACACACATGTATACACATATTTAAGTTGGCAAACACCGAGCCGTGTTTCCCCAGGACCGACCGAAGAGCCCAAGAACGAGTGCTTACAACCAAAGGTGAATTGATGGGTCTCGTGAACCCATGCAAATGGATATACGAAGCCACATGGAAATGACAATGAGCTGCCGGGTCACATTACTCCATAGGCCTCTGCATCTCATCACTTGCATGCTATTTAATGCATTCTTGTCACGTTCTGGCCAGCAAGAATCCACAAAATGGGCAGAGAAACCCGGGAGTTCTCGAGCTCCCAGCCTGCACTATCTGCTGTATGGTATGTGGATTTACTCAAGTAGTATGATGGAGCAAGAATTGATCGTACAGATACACAGACCCTCTCTTGCCTCTCTCCGGTCCCCCTACGCAGTACAGTCACTATCGGATACCCTGCAGCAGTTTGTTACCGTCCCCTGTAGTATCTGTGTGTCCTGTGCCCTGTGCCTGTGCCTGTACCTGTCGCCAGTGCCTGTGCATGCACCCCTGTGGACGGGGAACTTGGGCCCCGGTCGAGTCTAAGAAGCCTAGCTCCCCCTACCCTTGAACCGCGGCACCCTTGTTGCGCTGCTTTTTGGCTGCACACACCTCTCTTCTGGAGGCCGACAAGTTGCAAGTCGTGTAACCATGGGTTGGTGCCTTGCAACCACTCCATCTTCATCGGGGTCCCCAATTTCCAAATCTTTTTACTTGTCTGCCCTCCTCCTCTTTCTTCATTTTCTGCCAAGCAATCTGTATATGGTCATCAGGGGTCTACTTCACTGCATAATTGTGATCGAAAATGCAAAGTTGCATCCGATCTTCAACATTGACCAACCAGAGATTGGTGGTCAATGGGGTGTGACGTTCTCCAGAAGAACTTAGGCAGAGTCTTTTTTTGACGTGCTTTTGCGCTGCTCGAATCATCGCGGTCGTGGGGCACGGGCAGGGATCTCGTGCTGTCTCCTCCCCCACGACGTCCAGGCCGTCGTCCAGTCCACAGACCTGACCTGCTCCTGATCTGACCACAACACACATCCGCCCGCACATGGAATTACGTAGGTACCTCAGTAGAGGGAGACCCAGAAAACAGAGTATGAAGAGTCAGATAGTGAGAAACGAAGAGGAGAAGATTGAAGGGGAAAAAAGCTCGCTGCTTTCTTGTCAAACCCCTTGCGCCGGGATCGTCGCCCGGGACGGTGTAGCTTTATCGATCCCCCACCATAATTAGAAATAATTAATTGCCTTTGCGCACTTGACAATCCCTGTGTTGTGGTCGGCCATAACCTTACCTACCACATTCTATTTGGGTCGAGCTATGTATCTACGAACCCAAGAATCGCGCATACATACCCGCTATCCCGGAGCTCCATTGACCTATGTAGGTACATGGCCAAGCATAACTAGATTTGCTTCATACCTTGACGTGATAGAGATGCATCAATACATACTCTGTAGATACCTCGTACATTACCTAGAACATAATACCTACCATTATCGTTATTCCAAGGGGCATTCTCTCGGGTCCTGTCTGCACTGCAAGCAAGGCCTTTCCCTGCGTCCCGTTTTCTCTCAACTCATCCCTCCATCCCTCCCTCCATCCATCCATCCTGCCTGCAACTCTGCAGCTCCGTCAGTGTCAAAGTTCCCTTTCCGTGGCTTGATTGTGCACCTCGAACGGTCAGTCAAATAACAAAGGCGTTGCAAACCAAGGTCATACCTCTCTCTCTGCCATTCCGACCGCCAGCTTGTGAGAGGTCACATTGCGCGCCCGAGAGTGTGTTAGAGAATAGGTAGAGTCCGTGTTCGAACGGCACTTGGCAGGTCCATTCCGAATCGAAGCCGCCCCTACCTAAACCTGAAGTACCTACATTACCTACCTACCTACCTACCTCAGGCCTCCCGAGAAAGAGAGACGGGAATCCATCCATCCACTCACTGGCTGCTCCGTTGTCAACTTTGGCAGCAACAGAGAGCAAAAAGTTGGGAACCACAAAAATCCATCCATCTACAAAAGTTTCACAACCTACCTACTACTTACCTAACCTCTTCATACCACCACCACCACCACCACCACCAATACCGAGCAATTGAAACGCACCATTAATCAACGGTTGCACTACTTTTTTTTTTTGTTCGCAACGATTCCCACAGCCGCATTTACAAGACCCAACGGACTGGCGGGATCGCGTCTTCCATCCAGACCAACGCCACCCTCATTGCTCCCGCCCTCCCCTAGCCTCTAGTAGTCTCAGGCTAATAGCTCGAGCTATCTGCTTGGAGAGTAACGGTCTGCAACTTGTAACCCGGCTTTTCTACCTCTCCTTACCCAATTCATACAGCTCTCCTTTCTCATTTTTTCTCTTGCCTGTGTGCGTAATCTTGGATTTGGTTTCCTCGTGCGCATTTCTTAATAAGATTTTCCCTCCCCAACAGGAGAAGGCGTTGGGCCAAAAGAAGTCACGAGCTGACTTGTCGAAGCCATCAAAAGTATATATCGAGGTACGCAACTTTCCAGCAGCAGCTCTCTCTTTTTGTCTTTTTTTTTTCTCCTACGCCCCCCCCCCTTGTAACTACACTATGGAGACATACCCTCCCTCGTACGGCTAAAGGCCCGGTCTGGTGTCTCCTCTGGGTTCAGTTCAGATTGCATGGGTTGGTTCATGGTTGACTGAAAGCCCAAAACTTCTGCGTCAAGGACATTCCCTGGTTCAGGTCCAGAGTCCATGTACTTCGATACGTACCCCCTCGAGCGAGGGCGCAAGACCGGAGAACCTTGACATTCCACATCGGACCCTCTACCAACCCACCCTATGTACCTTACCTTACCTACCTTACCTTACTTACCTAAAAGACTTAATCCTTCTACTTCGTCACTACCTCCCGTCTGGTCTCCCTTCATTCCATTACACCTCATACTATCGATTCGCGATTTGTAGCCGTCAACAAACACTCACACATACGCACACCCTCGTTGCGCCGAATTACCACGACTGACACTACTCTCAACATCAGAAACAGCAGCAGTGCACAATAGACTTCTTTCTTGTTTTCTTTTCGACTTTTTAACCCGACTGGCCTTTATTGCTGTCGTCGTTGTCTAACAGCTAAAGGTCAATATTGAAGCAGAAGAGGCTCTGGTACGAATTATAATACGGCGGACTCGCGCGCAAGTGGTGGACATTGTCCGCCGGGGATCGATTTCGAACCTTATCGTCTATACCTCCAGTAATCACTCATGGTTTGCGACCGCGGACTTCCGCAGCATTCATAATGCTTGACGACCAGTCCATGCGCGACAGCTTACAGGTTGCGCCCCTTGCAATTCACAAGGGCCGGTCAGATAATGCGAAAGAGCAAGCCGAGGCTTGGGGGAATGGATCTTCGTCTTCGAATTCACAGTCGCCGTCGCATATAACACCACCGTCAACACCCAATGGCTCACAGGAAGACATTAGCACGTTGCCGAGCACCTCAGCACCACCACCTCCAGTCTTTCACAATTTCTTGAGAGCATTCTATCCATTTCACCCAAGTTACGCTGCATCAGATTCTACTGTTACCTTGCCACTCGACGAAGGCGATGTCGTCCTTGTCCACTCGATACACACGAATGGATGGGCCGACGGAACACTGCTGGCCTCTGGCGCTCGGGGTTGGCTGCCGACAAACTACTGTGAGGCATATGACCCGGAAGAAATGCGAAATCTCTTGCAGGCACTACTAAACTTTTGGGATTTGCTGCGGAGCACAATGACGAATGAGCGTGATATCTTCAGCAACCAAGAGTTCATGAAAGGTATCATAGCTGGCGTCCGATATCTCTTGGTATGATGGTCCAGGTTCCAATTTCGAGTCATTCTATATGTGAATATTAACAATCCACATAGGAATGCACACACTGCTTAACAAGAGACGCTCCAACCATTCAACGCAATGACAATCTTAGAAGAGGCCGGAAATCACTACTATCCGAGCTCTCTTCTTTAGTCAAGACGGCCAAGAGGCTACAGGAAGCCCTCAGGTCCTCTCAGCTTCTGACCGAGGAAATCAACGATATCATTGATGTCATGATCCTCAAAGCCTTTAAAATTATCGTAAAAGGAGTACGATTTCTAGATCTCCTAGAAGAAGACAGGCAACTTCGCGCGCCGCCAACAGTAACGGTCATGGCCACCGTGATGGAAGAGTCAATTATTCCACCCACACCTCCCGCCGACTCGACGAATTTCGACCAAGGCCCGGAAGCCGACCAGCATGCAGCTTCCCGAGGTGTTCCAGAAGTAACCACTACCGACGTGGTGGAGACGCAATCAACCGATGGTACACAAGCAAACGCACCAGCTAACAAGCGTTTGTCCTCCGTTTACTCGCCAACAAACACGACGGGTCAACGTCTCTCCCAGGTCAATTACGCCCGGGGAAATCGGCTGTCAGCAAGTATATCACACAGGGTATCTCTAGTCGGCCCATCATCAATGTCTCAACCACAAAACTTGGTTTCAACACGCTTGAGCTCCAGTCACGACACCTTGCTCTCTTATCTTGGTTCATTCATCGGCCGTTTACAACTGCAGTCTCAGTCTCGCGCAGAGTTGGCATTGGCCATCAAACAATCGGCTGTCTTGGGAGGAGATCTTCTTGCCGTCGTCGATACCGTTTGCAGGCACAACCCATTTGGTTCCGAATCTCTGGACCAAGCACGGGCCCTCATGTATGACCGCATCCGCGAGCTAGTATACTCGGCGCGCGACATCCTCACCAGCACTGAAACCGAGGCCGAGGATGTGATTATGCTGCAGGACAACGGCCACCTCTTGTCGGCTGCCATGGGTTGTGTTCAAGCTGCTGGTGGATGCGTGGAGAAGACTAACTGGGTCATTGAAAGGATTGGCGACTTCGAATTTGAGACTGAGGACACCGGACTCGGCATCGACCTGGACGTCTTCGATAAAGTTGCTGAAAGCCGCCCAGGCACTCCTGAGAGACGCGCACGCGAGTCAGGGAGTACAAATGGACGCTCCGGATCTGTGCGACCACTACACATGTCCATGGAGAAGCCTTTGCCCAGAGTTCCGGGTACTTCCGACGATGCCGAGACGACGGAGTCAGTAAACGACTCTCGTCCTTCGTCGCGGTCTCAGTCCGTAGCCACGGATGATGCCATGTCGAGTGTTGCCTCGTCTGTAGCTTCATCGCGGGCTCGACTTCCCCCACTTCCTAGGCTGACTACCACCCTACCGCCTGAAGAGTCGTACAGCCCAACCACCGAGGCCTCTCATGACAGTGAATATCATGGATCATTCCGCTCGGAGCTTTCGACTGCATCGAGCTCGGGGACCAACAGCACCTACCTCAGCAGGGACTCGGAGACAAGTCTCGCTTCTCAGGTATCCACTCGAGTTGACACGCCGGATTTGAAGAGCCGACCATCGCTACCAGATTTGGATGCCACCGGTGCATGCGATACAGTAGAAGAGTCAGACGATGTCGAGTCTAGATTACTCGAAAAGACATATGCTCACGAGCTTATGTTCAACAAGGAAGGCCAGGTCACGGGTGGTTCGTTGCCCGCTCTGGTTGAACGTCTCACCACCCACGAATCTACGCCAGATGCCATTTTCGTGTCTGCATTCTATCTCACATTCAGACTGTTCTGTTCACCGCGTAAGCTTGCCGAAGCGCTGATCGACCGCTTTGACTACGTGGGCGAGGCGCCACACATGGCCAGTCCCGTTCGCCTGAGGGTGTACAATGTCATCAAGGGGTGGCTTGAATCACACTGGCGCGAGGAAACGGACAATGAAGCTTTGCCCGTCATTCGTCATTTTGCCGACTTCAAGCTCAGCTCGTTACTGCCTTCTGCCGGGAAGCGGTTGTTGGCACTCGTCGACAGAGTCTCGTCTACCGACGGCCCCCTAGTCCCGAGACTGGTCTCCTCCATGGGCAAGACCAGTACCTCGATTTCGCAATACGTGCCCTCTGATACGCCGCTACCCAACCCGTCGCTGACAAAAAGCCAACAACACATACTTCAAAACTGGAAGTTGGGTGGCAGCTTGCCATCGGTGCTCGACTTTGAGCCCCTGGAGGTTGCACGCCAGTTGACACTAAAGCAGATGAACATCTTCTGCTCTATACTCCCAGAAGAGCTGCTGGGATCCCAGTGGATGAAGAAGGGCGGCGTTGATTCGCCCAATGTCAAGGCCATGTCCGGACTTTCGACTGATATCTCAAATCTGGTTGCAGATACGATTCTGCAGTACCCAGATGTCAAGAAGAGAGCCGCGGTGATCAAGCAATGGATCAAGATTGCACACCAATGCTTGCAACTCAACAATTATGACGGATTGATGGCGATTATTTGCAGCCTCAACAGCTCCATCATCAACAGACTGCGAAAAACCTGGGAATATGTGAGCCCGAAGCGCCGTGAGATGCTCAAGACGCTTCAAGCCATTGTTGAGCCATCCAACAATAACAAGGTGCTCCGAGCACGTCTTCAGGGCCACGTTCCGCCATGCCTACCCTTTCTCGGAATGTTCTTGACAGATCTGACTTTTGTCGATATCGGCAATCCAGCAACCAAGCAGTTGCCAGGCTCAAACGCCGAGGAGAACGGGCTGACTGTTGTCAACTTTGACAAGCACACCCGCACAGCCAAGATCATTGGCGAGCTGCAACGTTTCCAGATCCCGTACCGGTTCACAGAGGTCGCCGACTTGCAAGAATGGTTCCAAGCACAAATTGTGCGCGTCAAGGAGGCAGACCAGGAAAACAATGTGCAGGTCAACTATTACCGCAAGAGTCTACTGCTCGAGCCGCGTGAAACGATTCCCCGTACACCAGTAGAAGGTCCCTTGGCAACGCCTACCCCGGGCCAGAAGACTGGTTTCTCATGGATATCGCGAGACCGCGGACACCACAACAACACTTCAACTGTGGCAGTTTAGTGCCACAGAGGATTTGCACCAGCCAGGTGCAGCGCCGAAACAAAAAAACAAAACCAAAGCACGACACACGACACAACTGCCCGCCGCAAGTTCCTGATTCCACGCTTTCAAGCCAGTGTTTTAACTTGTTTACATTTTTGCATCATCTACCGATACCCCTACTGTTGTTTATTTTATTCTTCTTCTTTTTATGAGTATGATGAGCCAGCTACAACAGGCAAGCTTTTATTTTATATCTTGACTTGACGCGTTCTTGCGGCGGGCACATGCGACTGTGCAAGAGATTTCCTGCACAAATGTTTTTCGTACCGGTGGTACGCAAGCCCTCCAAGGGGCAGCAAGAACCCTTTGAGGTTTCTTGCTTGTGTTGTTCGCTTAACATGGTAAAAACAAAAAGGAGTTTATCGGGGCTGGGTCCTGGGTTTGAGACAGGCTGATTGCTATGGCGTATATGAGACATCAGGTTACTGGACTCAACGGTACATTTTGGTATTGGGCTCTAGCGGGACACTGTGCAATCATTGTATAATGGGCATAATGATCAGAAAATACCATCCAGCTACGTGGCAGGAACAGGAATCCAAATAGGAAAGGAAAAGAATGCCCATGTGCCAAAAACCAAAGTTTGATGCCTCCCCGGGAAGTGATAACCTAAAGATGATGCTCTTGTGAATTTATCCGATACCTTGTCTAGATCGAGACCTTCAATGTCATTGGCTTCCTATCACGTCCAGTCCGCATCTCTTGGTCTTGTCTGCTCCTCTTGGAAACGGCATGAGATGCATAAGTCGCATCATGATGTGCAGATTATAGACTAGTCCTTGACTTGTGGATGGCGAAATATGAAGCAGACTATATAAGTCGTCACAAATGGGAAAAACTGAAGGTGAGGCTGCTGTCTAGATATGATTACTTTTTCTCGGCCGCGAACACTTTTAGGCTGTTTTGAAGGAGAATATGACTTGTCCGGAAAAGTGTACCTGGTGCAACCTCTATCCAGTCCCTTGCGATGCATGATTCTGGCCAAATGAAAGAAGAATAGTTCAAAAGAAAAGATGGGGAAATAAATGTCAATTTCATCCACTTGATTATTTTGGCAGGAATCGATTTTGGGGTTGAATGATTATGTCTACTGGGCGGAATGCTGAAAATGAAAAAGGAGGTTGTTGAAAGTCAATGGCCACACACACACACACACACACACACACACGA